AATGCCTTACAATGGCCTTTTGGTATTTGAATGGCCTTGTTTTATTGAACCTGTTGCGTATCAAATATTGAATCTGTTAATGAATGTTGGAATGGTTATTGAACTTATTATGTATCAAACTTTGAAACATGCTTTGAACCTGTTATGTATCAAACATGTTATTGAACCTGTTATGTATCAAACATTTTATTGAACCTGTTATGAAATAAACATGTTACAGCTTGTTTCCATAAATATTGGTCATTGAGCTGCATATTTTACAGGTTGGATATTGAGATATTATTTAATGAATCTGTTATGTATCAAACATGTTTGAACAAGTTATATTACAGTTTGTTTCCACAAATATTGGTCATTGGTTATGCATATTTTACAGGTTAGATATTGAGACATTATTCAATGAAAATGTGAAAACATAACACAGACATTATTCATTGAAACAATATAACAGTACATTATTCATCAAACAAACTCATCAATTTGTTACAACATAACATTACATTACATTATTACAAACATAAAAACATAACTTAAAACTATTCTCTCTCATTCCCGTTTTCTCTCTCTTGTTTCATTTGTTTTTCCCATAAACCCTAACTCCGCCGTCACCCCCTTTCTCCACCCTTTCTCAGATCCATCTTCCCCTCTCTTTCTCATATCTCTAATCCCCATCTCTCTCTCTCTCTCTCTCTCTCTCTCTCTCTCTCTCTCTCTCTCTCTCTCTCTCTCTCTCTCTCTCTCTCTCTCTCTCATTTCTCGTCTATCATTCCTTCCCTTTCTGAAAGTTCGACCCTTTATAACAAAAATTCTTCTGGACCTTTTTGTATCAGCCAACATACATATACACAAACACATAATATAATCCTAACCATTCAAATTACCAAAATAAGAACAAGTAGATAAAACATATTTATCATACTAACAACATTTTTAACATGCAACAGTTACACATCAAATTAACATACTTAGTCTAAATGGAAAGTAAAGGCAATAATAGTTCTAAGGACAAAAAGAAATAAAGACATTACAACCCACTTAAGCTTCTTCTTAATCATTGAGTTGTATTTTTTTAAGGTGGTAAAAGACTCATTCAAGTTTGTTGTTCATGGATTCATATTTAGTCCTCATAAAGGTTTCAAAGGTATTAACTTTATTTCCAATTAAGTCAACTTTTGATCTAATAGAATCAACTTTGTCATTTAAAGCACATAATTTTCCAACACCATTTGATCATTGAAAAGGGCAGATATGGATGGTCCAGTAGAAGATGATGGAGGCCGATTCTTATTTCTCTATACATACTTAGAACCATCCCAATAAGCACATGTTTTCTCAATAACACATTCTCCAATCAAATTTTCATACTTGTTCATTTCTACTCCTCTTTCTCCAGCCTTAGAAACAATGACATAAGTTAGGAAGTAACGCATCATTCTTTCATTCACATGAAGATTACCAGCAGATAGAACAAGTTTTCCTTTTAATTCCCTTTCTTCAGTCCTTTATTTTTTGCTGAAAGCTTCTTCTCAGGGTACTTGCCACATATACAGGTACACTTCAATTTTGTTGAATTCATCATCTCTATCTTTTGTCTCAAATTGCAGCAAAGCCCCTTCATTTGGTATCCCTAAAATAGACCTAAGGCTAATATTAGTGATAATTATCTTAACTCTTTTCACAGAGTTGTCTTGCTTTATCAAGTTTGAGTATAAGGCTTTCACAAATTCGAGATAGATATTTCTAGAATACTCAACAAAAAATTTCAATCCATGATGTTTAAAAGTTATGGGAAAAGGTAACCGAGAGAAGAAAGAAAGAATATTGTACTTTGTAGTGATAACAGGGCGATCTTGAAATTTTTTCCAGTGGCGGTTCCTTTGTTTTTCGGTTTGGAAAAATCGCGAACTTTTTTTCATATTCCTCTCATCCACTATTTTTAAATAACCCCAATGGATGGGTTTTTTGACCTCAAGTTCTTGTAGTTATCCATGAAAGTTTTGGATAATTTGAAGGGTTTTTTAGGGTTGGATTTCTTTTGGAATATTGTAAGACTAATGAGGATTTGTGAAGAGACGTTTGGAGAAATTGATGTTGGATTTGAGTTAGAGGTGATTAAATGATAAAGAATGAGGAAATTTGGTGGTTTGGAAGAAGTTCTTTTGAGAATGAGGGTTTTAGGGTTTGTGTTCTTTGAGAAGAGAAATGACACAAATGACACAAAAATTTGAAAAATGGAAAATATATAGGGTTCTGAACTGATATGGTAATTGATTAGTTAGAAATGGTAATTAATTGCCACATAAGCAATGCAAAAAACGTGTTTTTTGATAATTGATTACTGATATAAGGTAAACGATTACCATGTAATTTTTGAAAAAAAAAAGTATTTTGTCATAGTTTTTGGTTCCAAAACCTATAATTTTCATTAATGATTTTCTAAAAAACACATATTCACATTTATTTAAGCAACAACACACATAAAAATGCAAAATATAAATAGACCGATATATAATAATTCACAAATAAAACTGTGAATTAAATGAAAATTACTGTGAAGGTTAAATACCAAATACCTCTTGAGAGATCAAAAATTTAATTTTGACATAGTGGAGACTTGATGATAATTTATACATCATTTTCATCTAGAATACCAAGCTTCCTCTTAATCTTGAAGAATGGTTCTTTAGCAATCGGTTTTATAAAAATGTCGGTTAGTTGATTATATATATATATATATATATATATATATATATATATATATATATATATATATATATATATATATATATATATATATATATATATATATATATATATATATATATATATATATATATATATATATATATATATATATGATCAAAGAAATTGAAGTATGAGGCATCATAATAAGCCATGATACGCCGAGCAATGGAATTCCAACAACTATGATATGACATACTAAAAGAAATTTTAAAACTTGAATGACGTGTTTGAAAAAAAAAAGTCTCATAGAACATGTCAATTCTTTTATTTATTTCAAATATCTTTATGAAATTTGTCCACTAATACACCCAATTGATTCATTTTGAATGTGTTTTAAATTGAATCACTTATTGTTCAAATTAACCGAATTAAATCAGATATTTTGATTAAATAAATTGATCTCTAAGAAAAAATTATATAACTCTTAAACAATCAAATAGGTTTATAAAATTTAAAATTTCAAAATATCATAATTTAAATAAATTTATAAGTTTATTTTTTAAATTCAAATTTTAAGCCTAATTATAGCACATATTGTAAAAAATATAAATCTTAATAAACTTTCAACTAATAAATTTAATTTTAAAAAATAAAATTATTTAAACAAAATTTATTTTAATTTTAATTTTATTATTTTAAAAAAATTATCTAAACAACCTCGAGTTTTGTCAATTCTAACCAATTTTTATTGAATCAATAACTTATCATGTCTAACAAAACACTATATTCATTCATTAGTTTATCAAAAAAAGTAAAATCCTCATAAAATAGATTTTCGTTCTAAAATTTTAGTCCTTTGCAAGAATAATATTTATTATTAAATCAACCATATACTATGGAATAAATTGTGAATGCATATTGAAAGTTGTTTAAATCTAAACAGTGAAATTTTTTTAAAAGAACAGAAAACAAAATAGTTAAACTTTTTAGAAACAAAAAAAAACATATTTAAACTAATAATTTGTTATTTAATATTCCTGTATTTATTTATTTCTTCTAAAAGAAAAAAAAAAGTAATAGAAGGTGTAAAACATGAAGTAATGCTGACAAAACCATCTTTGAGATTTTGGTTAGTGACAAAAAGACAAAACCAACTTTAGTTTTATAATTCTAATTAAAAATTAAAATAATGTTAAATAACACAATTTTCTTATAATAATAAAAGTAAAACATACTTTCGACATTTTTGTTTTGTTTATGTTACAACTTGGTAGGGTCCACAATGACTATTTCTCCTTTTCTTTTTTTTTTTTCTTCATAATTTTCTAAATTTAGTTCCATATTTTTCCTCCTTCAATTCATTCTAATTTTAATTTTCTTCAATTTTTCAGTGATCAATATTTTCTCCTAATTTTCAATCATCAATTTTAGTTTCTTCTTAATCAGGGTATGTTTCTTTCTTTTCCTTCTTTTTGTTATTTCTTTTTTTTTTCTTTCTTTTTTCTTTTGTGCTTCTTTTTCTTAGCACCAAGTTTTGCTTAATCTTTGTTAATTCTCTGTTTTTTTTCTCTCAATTCCTTGCCTATCCACTCTTTGCATGTCCATGTTGCAAAATTTTCATAATTATTGTTTCCATAATTTTTTTCTGGTTTGCAAAGTTTGGATTAGTGTTTAATTTTTATAAATCATAGCTATAGTTTGATTTAATTATTTCTAGCAATTTTTTTTGAGTTTTTCAGAAGAAATATGACTAGAATCTTCTTCCTGGAGAATTTTGGCTGCAACCGGAAACATGTCAACGTTCAACATATTGTGGTTAAGAAGTGAAAGATTGCAGAAAGGGTTGATTTATTTGTCTGAATTATTTTAGGTAAGAAAAAATTAATTTTGTTTTCCTCAATATTAAAATTTTTCATTTTGGAAAATTATAGTTCGCATGAATAATCGGCAAATAATAGCTCAACTGACAAATATCAATATTAGGGTCGTGAATGACTTTATAGTGTGATTATTAACACTTCGTCACATGATAAGTGTGTGACTTTATCGTGGTTATTACCACTTCTTCTCCACGTTGACCTGAAACAATTACCTTAGATTAGATTCAACTCTTGTCGTTTTGATTCGTTTAAAGAAGAATTTTCACTTTGTGATTTCTTATATGCATTTTTTTTTTTAACTTTTGATACTAATTGAGTATTATCCGAAAATAATCATGTTGCACATGTTGATTTTGCTTTGAATTTTTTCATACATTGATATTATTTTTTCTCTTTTCTTTTAGAAACCTTTTGGCGGACTCGGTTTTTTAATAGATGGAGGAAGTTGAAAACAAACCAACCTCCTCATCCGAATCCTCCACGAGAAATGCCGAACAAAATCCACAAGCCGAAACCTCTCAAGATGAATATCTTCTCACAGATAATTCAACTTCAACCTCACAAGAAACGGAACAAATCCACCAAGGAGCTATAGCTGCAGATTCCAAACCCGAAGCTTTAGAAGATATCAATAACAGACAACGGGACGGTGGTTCAACTGCTACTGCTAGCAGCGACGTTGATAATCTTAGTACGGAGCTCTCGACATCCTCTATAACAAAAGAGTTGCCGATTGAACCTATAGGTTTGTTTATTTGAGTTCTGCGCTAAAGTGTGATTATAGTTATAATATTTGTATTAAGTATGTTTTGTATGTGCATAATTATTGAACAAATTCTAACAGATTCATCTCGAGACGGAGTTATCGATGCCTCACAAGAAAACTTAGTTTCAACTTCAAATTTTGAAGTTCATGTAACAGAAGAAAGTCACCAAGAACCTATAGTTGCAGATTCTGAATCAGGATCTTTAGAAGATATAGTCAACATGGAGATGGAGGGTGATTCTACTGTCATCGTCGCTGATAATCCGGTTGAATATGGATCGGGATCTTTAGAAGATTTAGTGAACATGGAGAAAGACGGTGATTCTACTGTCAGTGTTGATAATCAGATTGAACCATTGACTTCGTCGTCTGAAAAAATAGAGTTGCAGAATGATAGCAAAGAACTAAATGTAAATCTGGATGAAATCAAGGTTTCTGACGATGCTATTGGAGGAGTTGGCTCACCAACAAATGAGAAGAAAATTGAGGAAAAAAGAGGCATAGTTGATACAGCAGCCCCATTTGAATCTGTTAAAGAAGCTGTTTCTAAGTTCGGAGGAATTGTCGATTGGAAGGCTCATAGAATGGTTACTGTCGAGGTATTTATCAATCTTGCATTTATCTCTCTTGCGTCAAAAAATAACTTCTTCATGAAGAAACATTTCTTTCCGTTGTTTTTCAATTGCTTTATTGTCATTTGATTACAGAGGCGCAAGCAAGTAGAACAAGAGCTTGAAAAAGCATACGACGAGATTCCGGAGTACAGGAAAATATCGGAGACTGCGGAACAAGAAAAAGTTGAAGCACTTCAGGAGCTTGACAGCACAAAAAGACTAATAGAAGAACTAAAACTGAACCTAGAGAGAGCACAGACTGAAGAGCGTCAAGCAAGACAAGATTCGGAACTCGCAAAGCTTAGAGTGGAAGAGATGGAGCAAGGTATTGCTGAAGATTCCAGTGTGGCAGCCAAGGCGCAGCTTGAGGTCGCGAAAGCCAGGTATACGGCTGCCATTAGCGAGTTTACGATGGTGAAACACGAGCTTGACGCGTTGCGTGTGGAATATGCTTCCTTAGTTGATGAAAAAGGTGAAGCTATTAACCGAGCCGAAGATGCTGTTGCTGCGTCAAAGCAAGTAGAAAAGACTTTAGAAGATTTGACGATCGAGCTGATTGCCACAAAAGAGTCTTTGGAAACCGCACATTCTGCGCACATGGAAGCTGAAGAACACATAATAGGAACAGTCATGGCAAGAGATCAAGATTTACTCAATTGGGAGAAGGAACTTAAACAAGAAGAACACGAATTAGAAAAACTCAACCAGAAAATTTTGTCGGCTGAGGATCTTAAATCTAAACTGAGTAAAGCTTCTACATTGCTTCTCGATTTGAAAGCGGAACTAAATGCCTATATGGAAAAGTCAAGCCAAGAAAGCGATGAAGGAGTCTTGAAAGCGGAACTGGATAAAAAATCACACAACGAAATACAAGAAGCAATTGCATCAGCGAAAAAGGAACTCGAGGAAGTAAAGCTTAACATAGAGAAAGCTACTTCTGAGGTAAATTACTTAAAGGTGGCTGTAACATCATTAAGATCAGAACTCGAACAAGAGAAATTGTCGCTCGCGTTGATTAGGCAAAGAGAAGGAATGGCTTCCGTTACTGTCGCGTCTATTGAAGCCGAGCTGAACAAGACCAAAACAGAAATTGGTTTCATTCATATGAAGGAAAAAGAAGGCAGAGAGACAGTCCTTGAAATGCCGAAGAAACTAAAAGAAGCGGCTGAAGAGGCAAATAAGGCCAACTTGCTTGCTAATGAAGCTCGCGAAGGGCTTCGGAGAGTAATGGAGGAAGCAGAACAAGCCAAGGCGAGCGCTAGTACAATGTTTAGTAGATTACTCGCAGCTCAAAAGGAGATAGAAGCTGCAAGAGCTTCCGAACGGTTGGCGATGAAAGCAATTAAAACATTGCAAGAGAGCGAATTGGCTAGAAGCAACAAAAGAAATGAAGTGGATTCATCGAAAGGTGTGGAACTATCGGTCGAAGAGTACTATAATCTTACCAAACAAGCTCATGAAGCAGAAGAGGAAGCTAATGTGAGAGTTGCAAGCGCGAATTCCGAGATTGATATAGCTAAGGAGGCTGAATCGAAAACCTTGGAGAAGTTGAATGAAGTGAACAAAGAAATGGCTGCTAGAAAAGAATCTTTGAAGATTGCAATGGATAAAGCTGAGAAGGCAAGGGAAGGAAAGTTAGGTGCAGAACAAGAATTAAGAAAATGGAGAGCCGAACACGGGCAACAAAGAAAAGCCGGCGAAACAGGCCAAAAAGTGGTAAACCAGAACACAAGCCATAGTGGTAAACTCGAACAAAATAATAAGGGAACTATTCCTCCTGGACATCACTTTTCAACTCAAAAGTCTTATGTTCATGCGAACAACGAAAATGGATCATCGCCGGATGCGAAAAACGGAAAGAAGAAGAAAAAGTCGTTTTTTCCGCGGGTTTTTATGTTCTTTGCAAGAAGAAAATCACATTCAACTCATTAAGAGTAATCACTTTTTGAGAAACTACAACGCATTGTTATGCATTGAGAGAGTATACCATACAGTTCATACTTGTATATGTTAGTGATTTTGCAGTATTGTGAATGGTTTTCCATTAAGTAATCTTGGTGAGAGAATGGTTTTCCATTAAGTAAAATCTTGGTGAGAAAAGGAAAAAAAAGAAAAAGAAAATTTCTGTATTTTGTATAAGCCGTTTTGGCTTTTGTAAAGATCAGTGTGCAATTATACCAAATTAAAGGTACTTTTTGAGTTTGATATTTCAAGTATTATGAATGTTCATAAGATTGTTCCATGCTTAATCTCAGGACCCGAATGACTCGATAGCAGAAACCTGATACGTCCCTCACGCCCAAGACCTGAGTGAGTCTAAATCTATCTTACAACCGAGAGATATCTATAATCTATAGAAGATTTGGTTTTTCAATACAGTATCCATGCACATACATCTGTATATATAGTTCACATAAATTTATTTTTGGCTCTTATACATTGGCAACATCAATGCTAAATTATTGATAAAAGACATATTTAATCTATAATCAGAAGTATATGCTTCACTTAATTTCCCACACAGCATAATCTTGTCCATTAGTAGCTACCACTGCATTTGATGGAAGAAGGTTTCCAAGATCCAATTTTGGTCCAATCTTAACAATAATCTTATCATCAATTTTGGCCATATAGAGATCACCTTCAGCAGCCAAAATGTTCACACTGCTTGTAGCTGTAATTCCATTCCTCTTCCTTATTGCTGTCAATTTCTTTATAGGCTCCATTAGTCCCCATTCTATGTAGTGATCATAGAACTGCATGCACCATCAAAACAATATTCAACCGTTAGAATATCAAGTAGTAACAGAAAAACAAACATAGAAACGCAAATTGCAAACATTCAACGTGATATTTGTTTACAAAGTTCGTCTAAGTATACCTATGTCCGCGACTACAAAGTATTTGAGAATTGTGGTTTATGTATGTTACTTACAATTGTGGGGTGACCAGGATGAGTAAGAATGTAAACATAACCCAACATAACTTTATCAGATGGAAATGGCCATTTTTTCTGAGAACCAGTATCATGATTATCCACAAAAGTAACTGCATTTGATGGCATTATTCCAATCATCCCCGGTGGTTTTCCATTAGCATCTTTCATCCTCCAAAGCTCACCTTCAACTGCAGCACCTAAAATCATTTTCGTAGTAAAATCAAAAGTAGTTACAACGCCACCAGCATCATTAACCCAATTAACCAAAGTTTTGCGGTGCGCGTCTTGGTTAGCCAATGGTTTTCCATCTGAACCCAATTCGACGTCTCGGTAAAGCTCTCCAACCGCGAAATCAGGGGATGTTTTCTCCACGTAGGTTTTTGCAAACCTTGGAGCATATCCGACAACCATGTCTAGTCTCCATCCTACAAAACCAACTTCTGTTTTCAACCAGTTCATCCAATCTGATAGCTCTTGTTGTACTTTTGGATTCGTGTGATCGATGTCGGGTGCACCTGGCCAATCCTCACCTGGCATTACATATAATAGTTAGTTACAAAAGATAGTTAAAACCGTTATATGTTTTTTTCATTAACTATTTAAGTTAATGATCCATGATTTCTATCAAAAATAGTACTATTTGATTCGTGATTTCTATCAAGAATAGTACTATCTGATCCGTGGGTAATACCTGTGTCGGGGTTGCCCCTGCCTTTGAATTGGACATCGTTGCTACAAATGTAGGACACGTCCCAATCTAGGCGAGTGTCGGGAGTACCACCTTCGAAGATGCTAAGTCCATTGTTGTCCAGCCTCTCTGCTGTTCTATGGTTTATGACTATGTCAGATATGCATTTCACTCCTCGATCACGAAATGCTGCAACTAGTGACTTCAGTTCCTCCTTGTTGCCATACTTTGACGTGTCAAGATCATATAATCTTTTAGGCAGGTAACCTATCCATTTCAATCAAAAATACATATGTCACGGTTACAACCAAAATTCCACTTTTTAGATTTATTAAATAACGGATATATCTGGTTTATACATAGACAAAATAGACGAGATATTTAAATTACCTTGAGGACCGTCATCACGAGAGTTGGAGGGAGGAGGAAGCCAGACATATTCAACACCAGCATCTGCTATATCAGGTACCTTAGTCTTCAAGAAATTCCACCATCCTCCTTCTTTTTCAACTGATGCCCAGTTGAAACCCTACAACATATTATTACTACTATTATTAAACTCTCCTCATGGTAAATAGAACAAAAAAATGATTTGAAACACAAAAGAATGGTGATGATACCTGAAATAGTATGGTAGAGGAGGAAAAAGAAGGGAAAAGAGAAATGCAAAGATAAAGGAAGAATAATGAATGAAGAAACTTCATGTTTTGTATGTAATTTTGTCTTGCAATTATGCCATCTTTGCCATGTGTCCTTTTATAGGCAATCTTAGATTAAGATATTGGGTTGATTTTTCAGAGTTTTGTATCATACATTACCCTATTCAGACTTTCATTCAATGGAGTCAAAGTATAAAATTCCAATATTGTTAGAAGATATTCTTACAATTTGAAGTGACATATTATTTAGGCAAAACACCTGATTAATCTTTTAAATTATTTTAAAATATCAAATTAGTTTCTTAAATTTTTTTTTAATAGTTTTAATTATTTTTTAAAAATTCTCGTTATATAAATTGCAAACTCATATATCATTTGAACTGACTTTTCGTGTTGGATCATGAATATGCAATTAAATTTATCAAAGTTACAGTTCATGAGAATCAGATAAAAATGAACGAAATGCATAATAAAAAATCAACGATCCGACCAAAATACACAATCAAACGTAAAACTAATTACATATTCGTGATCAGTGCGAAAAACAGTTCAAATGGTATATGAGTTTGTAATTTATTATAACGGAGATTTTTAAAAAAGATCAAAGCGTTAAAAAAAACTTAAGGGACTAACTTGATATTTTAAAATAACTTAAAGGACCTAGACAATAGTTTTATCTATAATTTATCTTTTAGCTCATAATTTGAAGTGACATAATTTATTTATCTTTTAATTTTAAAAAATAGTTTTTTATTAATTTTTAAAAATGATTTTTATAAAAATATTTGGCTTAATTGCAACTTTGGTCCCTCTATTTTGTGTTTTTTTGGGTTTTGATCCCCCCATTTTAAAAACCACGATTTTAACCCCTTTTTTAGGTTTCAAGATTGATATTAGTCCCCTTGTCATTTTAAGTCATGTTTTTAATGATGTGACGCGTTGACTGATGATGTGGCATTTCCATGTCATTTAAAATGGTCTTATTCATTTTAATATCATTTTCATGTCATTTAAGTTTTGTTTATTTCATTTTCAGAAAATTAATAAAACCTAAATGTAAAACCCCAACTCTTTCATCTTCAACCCATTTCTTCAATCCCAGTTCAGGAATGAAGATTCTTGGTCTTCCCCTTTCACGAACGAATCTTCCCCTTTCACGCACGTAATTAAAGATTCTATATCAAACCGCAACTCGCTTCCCGTCGTCTCTGAAATGGCAAACCGAAGTTACGTGTCGAGGCATGTTTTGTAACTCACCTCTGAATACAAAAACCCTAAACATGCAAATGGTGTTTCTGTTCTGTCATAGCATATGATTTGTTTATACCAACTCCCGGTTTTATCTATGTTTTGGTTCAGAAACTGTCGTTTGTGTTTTGTAGGCCCTCTGATACCCAAGCTGTCAGATTTAGAGTACACCATAGGAGACATTTATTTCAGAATCCAGTTCTGTTGTTTGTTGATGGGCTTGTAACTGAAATGAATTGGGATTGAGATGTGGATTTGATGTCCTACATGCAAATTGAGGATTTGATCAAGAGTGAGGGATATCGTAATATAAAGTGTTTATGGTATTGGAATCCTAATTTTTCCTTTTCTCGTGGACTTCGGCCTCTGAACAATGATAATGATGTCTTAAGGTTAATGGAGTATGTTAGAGGATTTAAGGTAGTTGATCTTTATGTTGAACACAAAGTTGAAGAAATAAGTATTAAGGATGTTATTTTTGAGGAGGATAATGGTGAAGGAGCAAACAATGAAGTTAATGTCGAGGGAGCAAATGATGAAGTTAATGTTGAGGGAGCAAATGATGAAGTTAATGTTGAGGGAGCAAATGATGAAGTTAATGTTGAGGGAGCAGACGATGAAGTTAATGTCGAGGGAGAAAACAATGAAGTTAATGTCGAGGAAGAAAACGATGAAGAGGTTAGTGTTGATGGAGTAGATGAAGAGGTTAGTGTCGATGGAGTAGATGAAGAGGTTAGCGTTAATGTTGATGACGTAGATGTCGAGAGTGAAATAGATCCAGATTATAGCATGGGCAGTGAGGATGACGAGGAAGAGGATGAAGATTTGGAAGATGAAATTGATGTGATGAATTTAGGTGTTGACGTTAGTATTAATTGGAAGACCGTTTTACCTAATGCTACAGCAGAAAAATCCTCAAAGTTGGATGGTAATTCTGATCATGGTAGTGATTCAGATGTGCTTCAAACTCCACCCGGTAGTGATGCTGAAGGTGATATGGCAAAGTTTCCAATCTTTAGGAAACCCACAAAACTTGAAGTAGGTATGACGTTCAAGGATAAACAACAAATCAAAGATGCCATAAAGGAGTATGCAATGGAGAACAAGAAGAATCTTGTATTCAAGAAAAATGACAAGAAGAGAATGGTTGTCAAGTGTTTAGATGGTTGTCCATTTCATATTAGGTTTAACATGAGGACTACCAATCAATATTGACAACTTGTTAGCTTAACTGATCGTCATGGTTGTCATAGGACAACCAAAAATAGACAAGCAAAAATGGATTGGTTGAGTCGCCCAATTTGTGTACACCATAAGACACACTCCTGAAATAAAAACCAAAAGGCTGATTGCAGAAGCTATTAAGAAGTGGGGGGTGAAGTTGTCAAAGGATCAGGCTTATAGAGCCAAGAAAAAGGCAATGGAATTGATTCAAGGTGCTGGTCGTGAACAATTCACACATCTTAGAAGCTATGGTGAGGAGTTGTTAAAGTCAAATCCAAACTCCACTGTTAAAATTAAGTGTGCTGATTCAAATGGTGGTCCTGTCTTTGAAAGAATATATGTATGCTTAGAAGCTTGTAAGGCAGCATTTGCAACGACTTGTAGGCCTCTAATAGGACTGGATGCTTGTTTTCTTAAAGGCGACTTTGGAGGTCAGTTAATAGGTGTTGTTGGTAAAGATGGAAATAACAAGATTTATCCAATCGCTTATACCGTAGTGGAAGCTGAAACGAAAGACTCTTGGAAATGGTTCCTTAATTTGTTACTAAAGACTTGCAATCTATACAAGACAACAAATATGGATTTATATCAGATCAACAGAAGGTTAGTTTTACAGTGCTGCTATTTGTTATATGTGTTATGTGCTATTATAATGTTGTTTGATATGTGTTGCTATTTTGTGTTGATATGTGATGCTACTGTTGTTTGATATGTGCTGCTATGTTGTGGCCTAAATGGTCTTTTAGTGAGGCTTTTTATATGAGAGTTAGGATATGAGAGTTAGGATATGTGATGATGCTACTGCTATGGCCTAAATGGTCTTGTAGTGAGGCTTTTTATATGCACAATTGTGTTATTAAGGATATGAGAGTTAGGATATGTGATGCTGCTACTGCTATGGCCTAAATGGTGTGTTGATATGCATTTAAATAAGAAGGGAATTTCAATAAAAATTTGATATGTGATGCTGCTACTGCTATGACCTAAGTTAGGATATGTGATGGTGCTACTGCTATGGCCTAAATGGTCTTGTAGTGAGGCTTTTTATATGCACGATTGTGTTATTAAGGATATGAGGGTTAGGATACGTGATGCTACTACTTCTATGGCCTAAATGGTGTGTTGATATGCATTTAAATAAGAAGGTAATTTCAATAACAATTTGATATGTGATGCTGCTACTGCTATGGTCTAAGTTAGGATATGTGATGCTGCTACTGCTATGGCCTAAGAAGGGAATTTCAATAACAATTTGATAAGCAAAAGTAAATAAATAGATAGAAAGACTAATGTGAATTTAAATTAATCAAAGACTAATGATGTGTTGATATGTGTTGTTATGTACTGTTGTTTGATGTGTTGTTATTTCAGGGATTGGTATCGGCTATTCTTGAGACAAGCCAACATGTTGAACATAGACTATGTGTTAAACACTTCTATGGAAATTGGAGAAAGAAATATCCTGGGATATTTATGAAGGAGGCTTTATGGCGGGCAGCTAGAGCCACAACAATTCCTGCATGAGAAAGAGCAATGAATCATATGAAAGAGCTCAATGTCAATGCTTGGAAAGACATGATGGATGTCCCAACTGCATATTGGACTCGGTCTCATTTCAAAACAGGCATACAATGTGATTTGCAAGTCAATAATATGTGTGAGGTTTTTAATCGTGCAATATTGGAGTATAGAGATAAGCCGATCATTTCACTACTTGAAGGAATCAAACATTACATAACAGTGAGAATCTCTGCTCAAAAGGAGAAATTAAGTAGGTACACAGGTGTTACAAGTCCTAACATTCAAAAAGTCTTGGAAAAAACAAAGAGGGCAGCAAAAGGATGAATTGCAACATGGCATGCAAATGATGACTTTGCTATATTCGGAGTTTCAAACGGTGTCGAGACATATGCTGTGAACTTGCTTCAACAGAAATGTGGTTGTAGGAAGTGGAATTTAAGTGGAATACCATGTTGTCATGCTATTGCATGCATATGGTATAACAAGAAGGAGCCCGAAGAGTACGTTTCATCATTCTATAGGTATCACCTACTCGTATATTATGTTCATTTACATTCATCTTTTTTAATCGTTTACTAAAATCATTGTGTCATATTGTCTAGGAAATCTACTGTTCTGGCTACTTATAGCCATATTATTATGCCAACCAATGACCCACAACTATGGCCTATTAATGTTGCTAACCCAATCAGCTCTCCAGTCATGCGAAGATTTATCAGTCGTCCTAAGAAGAATCGTAACAAGGTGAATGATGAACTGAGGATAAGAAATACACTGCCTAGAACTCTTCAAACTGGCAAGTGCAAGAAATGTGGGAGTTTTGGCCATAACAAACGAACATGTAAAGGGAAGCGAGCTGCAGAGAGAGCGATTCCTAAAGGTGGCAACAAAAAACCTAAAAAAAAGGGTGAAAAGTCGGGCAAGGAAGCGGGATAACCTGTTATAGACGGGGGACAAACTGTTATAGACGGAGGGTCGCAAGCACCGCCACCAACCCAAGAATAGTTCTATGTTTTACTTTACTTTTTGTGATGCTGCTATAGCATATGTTA